TTGATGCAAACCATAATTGGCCTTCAATGCCGCAAATAAGCCAACACCTGGAGCGGTCACGTTCACACTTTCAAGCTCACGTATATGCGGACACCTGTAACAGCTTGTGCGGTGACCACGTCTAGGGTTTGATGAAGCCGACAAGATGGCGGGTTGGGGTTGGACCTGACACTTGACACCTTGCGTTCTCAGTCTGAGCGAGAGATTGTAAGGTCGTGAACGGCTGCGCGCTTGTGGGGTCCAATAAGCTTTTGCTTGCGTTGCAGGTTGAGCGAAAAACTCAAGGCGTTTCTGCGTTAGTATCCATTATTGTCCGAAAACACACTTTTGGTTTTTAAAAGCCAGAGCAGAATGTGTTCTGGTACTAGACACAAGAATGGTGCACTTCAGTAGGCATTTCCTTAAAATAACTAACCTGAACAGCTACCCTCATAAAAACCAGAATTCTTAAAATAAATTTAATGGTTGATGATTTATCCAGATGCTGTCTAGTTGTTGAAGACATCGCAGGTAAAAGACCATGCCGGCGTTTTAAGAAATGAACGTCGTTCGATGGGCTTAAACCACGAGTTTCAGTCGGTTCAACCTCAACCGTGTTAATTAACGACGCATGCGGAGAGTAGGCCGGGTAGGCCTCCTTCCGCAGACGAAGGCCGCGGAATTCCTAAACAACCCCTGCTGCAGCCGGTTCGGTTCCGGCTAGAAGCTCCGTATATTTGGGAGATTATCACCGACGTTGTTCGACTTAGACGCTCCGCTAGTTTACATTGCCACAGTTACCAGCTGCTTCGGTATCAGCTAGATGGTTGCACTCGCTAATTCGCACGTCATTTCGCCCCTTACCACATACATCATCCCGTTACATTGCACTATCGACAACTGGTTCCCGTCTCTGATTTAGTTGTACTTAGGAGCGTCCACCTTGACTGTGAATCCCCCTATGAACAGTACATCACGATACATTTATCCGTGGAGAAGCAATAATACAACCGATAACTCTCATATACTACACCACACACAGTAAAGACATAATGTTTGGACGCAGCATCGGCATGCATTAAAGGACATCTCGGCTCTAAAAACAAAAAACTAAAATTTTATCCAACAATACAAAGAGTAAAATGAATGCCGATAGGAAGGAGGAAACACGGCCGTTAAGAAAACAGCTTAATTCGCCTGAAGTTTCGGACTCAAACTCGAGTCTATAATCAGAGACAGAATCCGATTACGTTAATAATTTGCACAAACGTTACAGTATTTATAGGATGCAGTTGTTATGCCACTGTATGCCTATAAAGAATGAGGGCCACCAAATTCATGCCAGAGGGCTGCACGTGGTGAAATAACTGCTTAATTGCCTTCAAACGAGTCGTTAATTACCGAAATCTCATCAATCGTGTGGGTTCTGGGTGATTTGGCTCACTGACACTAGGACCAATACTTTCTCGCGAGCTCCCGCGCAGCTAATTACCCCGTTCAGCCAAAGACTCCTTACAGAATGTGGAGCAGGGAGTTCGTTTTGCTTCTTAGTCTGCCGAGGACTCGAGAACCCCACTGCCTGTGCAAGGCATTGCCATTGTCCGATTCTGTCTCTAATGATGGAGTCGAATGTGGGTCCGGTACGCCAGAGATATAAAGCTCTCGTCCCAGCGATCATGTCTCATTCATCCAGACTGCTTCCTGCAATCCCCCTCTTTGCTTGTATTAACAGTGAATGCCAATGTTTTTATCACATGCGATCTTGCCACTGTTACGTATGCCAAAGGGTACTTCTGTAAAACAACTCATTAGATAACAAGCCAAAGAAAATGTTCAAGGAATAAACGAACCAGATCTCCAGGCAAATTTATCTCTTAAATTACGTTCCAAACAGGACTGCGCAAGGGACACCTGATGCGAAAGCTCCAGGACTTGCACGCCCCTGACCGGGTGGGTGATTACACAAATCACTTTACATGTCACGTCAATGTCCGCACTTCTAACCTTTCTACCACATGTAAACCTTCGATAAGGCATCAAACCTCACAATTCACGATGCCTATATTCTAACGCCCCTCGAAGCGCGAAATATGATCGCATCTCCCAGAGGCCATGACATCTCTGTATTAATGATTCAGGGAGTTTAAAGCCTCTGGCGAGCCTCACCCGGTAGAACAGAACACAGTCAGTCAAGAGTCTCACAAGGCAAGAGTATATCTTTCATCAGCCGGGGGGGCGAACTGTATAACAAGGAACCCTTCGAAACTGGCATCTAACATGAGCGTTTATCTGGCCGTTTTTGCTTAAATTATGACCCTGTGGGATTTGCCAGTGCATGCCTGAACTGCCAGGGTTTCATACAAACCCCATCGTGTCAAGTAATAACGGGCGTAGTCCGAGGTGCAGCTGAAGTTCATTTCCATATACGGACGAAAAAGTTGAAAAGAACAAGGTCTTCTCAACCAAAGAGAAGATAGCGCCGAACAGCCGTATGGAAAGCACTGACATTTCTGTGTAGACTCTCGTGGTGGACGTCCCAGTGGCTTCACCTCGATTTTAGCTTTTAATCACTTTAGTTATTTTGCGCTTTGTTTGACGATATTGTATAAGATGGTAGTTGAAATTTACTTATTCAGTCCATCAGGAGATAGGGTACACAATGGTGGGTAGAAATTAATCCACCTGGATTTTCTTGTTGCCTACTCAGTCATGTTCCTTTACAAGCCTGAGTGATTCCGCTAAGATATGGTCATACAGGAGACAGCAGATGGATAGCCGGTAGGATGTTAATCTCCATACTGTTACGCCGCCTATACAAAGGATATAAAGTGAGGGCTTGACAAATAGGTTAGCGAGGATTAACTCGGATTAAGTGCAGTCATGCTTAGAAGGGATAGATTTCTGTGGCGGCTGCCGATCAAATCGGCGTGAACTCGCAATAATTTAAAGGAAACGCGCATACTGCACCTGTCTCAGTTTGACAGCACATATTAACCATGTGGTTATTTTACGCACGGCCGCGACTAAATTACACACAATGTAGCAGCTTAGATGCAAAGCATTGGCCTGAATACCGATAGTGTCCGAGGTTATGTTTCCGTGTCAGAGTCCAACACAAGGGTAGGAACTTGGAAGTTGCATGGTTTGCCATACTGACAGCAGAGGTAGTAGCGAAGTATAAGATCCCACAAACGTGTTTCGCCGATCTTTTGAACCTCCATGATACATCCGCGGAAGGTTCGGCTCAGTAGTGCGTCCCTTACCGTTCTCCTTGTGCTTTTTGATAGATACTCAAGTTTTAAAATTTTAGCTTCTTAATCTTCTCGGAAATTAGCGCGCTAATTCGGAGTAAATCACTCGGAATGAAGCAGTATAGGCACAGTTTGAAAGATAATACGAGTACTTGTGCGGAAATCCACCAGCTTCACCGGGATAACCGTGTCATATTCATAAATTACCAAATGGCGGCCACTAGTGTAAACAAATTACATAATTTTAGCTAGTACCTGTGCTGCCAGTACGGTAAATTGTAAATATTACGCGGTTATCACGCCAAAGTTAAAGGATTTCGGCCAAATATTCAAACAAACTTGCGGACTGGGCCGAGAAAAAGTCCTTCCGGATGATTTACTCCAAGTCAACGAATTTTCAGTTTCAGTTTATTTGAGGGAAACATGGGTGTTGAACCTTTGAACTCCCTGTTTGTTACAAGAAAGCGAATTATATCAAAAATCTGAAAATGGAAACATCAACCAGCTACAGAAATGTCGCTTCAGATTGGCAAGATTTTCAAAACCAGTCATATAAACGAATTGTTCCAAGTGTTTAAAAACACTAACATTGCTAAAGGAGCTGTACAATAGTCAGTCTATGGATAATTAGTGCGGTCTCAGTTTCTGAGGGAGACGAATTGAATGCCAACACCCACATTCAACGGACTCGGGATAATAATAAAAACAAACGTTACTGAAATGCCGGCAGTAATAAACCGTTTGAACTAAATGCTAAGACGATATCGGTCAGGTGGCATTATGACGTTTAGTGGTATACTGGTCCAACTTGCGCTTAAAAGCCTCGATAGAGGTGAACGTGACGACATCTGCATGCAGAGCATTCCAATCCTTGACCACTCTGTTTGAGAAGGAGAACTTCCGCACGTCCAGCCTGGCGCCCGTCACACGTAGTTTAAGCGGATGGCCTTGGAGGTTCGTTGTGGTTGCTAACTCAAAAAAATCAGCAGGTAAGAGACAGCAGTGCTGGCCGCGCATTACACGGAATGTTTGTGTAAGGTGGCCTCTTAGAATAGATAGAAGAACTGAAACTTTTAGCAGTTACGAAGACGAGTTGACAAGCATTTTTTACCTTCGTCTGATCGCGGCCGCTTCCGCTGTTACCAACAGGCGCTGGCCCAGTAGCTTAGGATAGCACGAGGGGACCTTATAAATCACGCGAAAAGCTTCGCCGGGGCCAACACGATGCCCTGCATCAGATGCATGCGCAAGAATGGTGCTGATTATGCTCCTAGTTTCGCATTTCGTCAGCCATGCGGGGAGGTATTCTTGTATTCTTTCGGATAGACGTCGACTCGTACGACCAATACAACCTGCTCGACAGAAGCAAGTGAAGGGATAGATGCATACGGAGGTAGGATAAGTGCAGTACCATATTCGAAACCTTGTTGTTGGGAGGTTTGCGAGACAGCTTGATCAAGGCGTCTTAGCAGCTCACTCACAGCGTCCCCTTAAACAGGAAATTTGAAGAACAAATTTTTCTTTTCGACTGTCAGTGTAGTGGGTTTTGCAGGTTGTTCGAAAATGTCCTTTATTCTTCAAAGTTCCTGTGAAGGACTGTGAAACATCATGCAGAAATTTGGCTGTCAGGAGCGATTCATTCAGCTGGTGCGTCAGCTGCACGACGGTATGATGGCGCGAGTCACGGGCAACGGAGCTGTCTAAGAGGCATTCGCAGTGACCAACGGAGTGAAACAGGGATGAGTGCTGGCGCCTACGCTCTTCACTCTTATGTTCTCTGCCATGCTGATGGACGCCTACCGCGACGAGCGCCCCGGGATCCGCATCGCCTACAGGACGGACGGTCACCTGCTGAATCAACGACGGATGCACTTCCAATCGCGCTTATCCACAACCACCGTTCACGAACTTCTTTTCGCCGACGACTGCGCTCTGAACACCACCTCGGAAGAGAGGATGCAACGAAGCATGAACCTGTACTCCGCCGCCTGCGAGAACTTCGGTCTGGTCATCAACACGCAGAAGACGGTGGTCATGCACCAACCGCCACCCAACACAACCACTCCACCCAACGCACCGCAAATCAGTGTTAAAGGAACCCAACTGCAAGTGGTGGAGAAATTCCCCTACCTGAGCAGTACTCTCTCCCGCAACACCAAAATCGATGACGAAGTCGCCAACAGGATCTCGAAAGCCAGTCAAGCATTCGGCTGCCTCCAAAGCACAGTTTGGAATCGTCACGGTCTTTAGTTGAACACGAAGCCGAAGATGGAGAAGGCCGTCATCCTGCCGGCGCTACTGTATGGAGCGGAGACTTGGGCGGTGTACACAAAGCAGGCACGCCGACTGAATCACTTCCACCTCAGTTGTCTTCGTCGCATCCTGAGGCTGAACTGGCAGGATCGAATCCCCGACACTGATGTGCTGGAACGGACGGGAGTCCTCAGCATCTACACCATGCTGAGACAAATGCAGCTGCGTTAGAGCGGCCACCTGGTGCGCATGGACGACGAGCGAATACCCATACGACTCTTCTACGGAGACGTCGCGATGGGTTCTCGCCGTCAAGGAGGCCAAATTCGTCGATATAAGGACACTCTGAATTCCTCCCTGAAGCGTCTGCAAATCAACCCGACCAACTGGGAAGAGCTCGCTCGCGATCGTCCGACCTGGAGGAGAACAGTGAAGACGGGCGCTGCGATCTACGAAGCCAACCGCATCGCTGCCGCCAAAGCGAAACGCGAAGCACGCAAATCACAACTGCGCCCAATCCGCAACGCCGACGCACAACCGCTTTCAATGTGTCCTCGATTTCAACGGACAATCCGGGCTCGAATCGGACTTGTTGGACATCTCCAGATCAGCTGCGCCTCTCGAACTGCACAAACAATCGTCCCCCCGCTCGCCTATTCCTCGTCCTCTTCGCCGCCAACTAACTCTGACAATTCTTCTGAACCACCACTTCCATCCTTCTCCTTCTCCTCCTCCTACTCCTTCTTCTTCTTCTTCTTCTTCTTCTTCTTCTTCTTCTTCTTCTTCTCCTCCTCCTCCTCCTCCCACACCACTGCGTTCACGACGCCCGCTCAGGCGGCTGTCACGCACACAACAACCGACACCACCCCCACTGCATCCGACTCCAGCGATCAGGATCAGATCTACACCTGCCCTCACTGCGACCGAACATTTACCTTACACATGGGCCTGGTTGGTTACTTGCGAATCCATCGCACAGAGACTGGCGAACCAGTGCCTGGAGCACCAACCTACACCCACCGCACTCACCTCCACTGCCACACTGCTCTCGCACCTTCACGCATCGCGTGGGTCTATTCGGCCACATGCGCATCCACGAGAGCGGAATTGACTGCATTTCCGACACACCCACCACGTCCACCACACCCAACACTGCCAGCCCCACCCTCGCTCCATGGCCCTGCGCGCCGATCACCACCGCCACCATTACCACCACCGACTCCTCTGTAGCTGACATCGACACCCCCGACCTCTCCTGCCCACACTGTTCACGCACATTCACTTATCGCATCGGCCTGGTCGGTCACTTGCGAATCCATCGCACAGAGACTGGCGAACCGGTGACTGGAGGACCAACCTATACCCATCAGTCTCGTCTCAACCGCCCACACTGTCCTCGCACTTTCAGGCATCGCGTGGGCCTATTCGGCCACATGCGCATCCACGAGAGCGGAATTGACCGTCATTCTGACACACCCAACACATCCCAAACATCCACCGTGCACACCCCCACCCTCGCTCCATCCGCCTGCGCCACTACCACCACCGCCTCCTCTGTAGCTGATACTGACACCGCCGACTTCTCATGCCCACACTGTCCGCGCACCGTCACCTCAAACATTGGCCTGGTCGCTCACTTGCGAAGCTATCGCACACAGACTGGCGAACCAGTGCCTGGAGCACCAACCTACACCCACCGCACTCACCTCCACTGCCACACTGCTCTCGCACCTTCACGCATCGCATGGGCCTATTCGGTCACATGCGCATCCACGACGACCTGCGGTGGACAACCGCCGGTTACAACACACCACAACACCCTCCCGTCCTGCCTACTCCTCCACCACCACCACCACCACCCCACCACACATCAACACTCACCCACCGCAAGCACCAAACTGCCACCTCCCGCGCAAGTGGGAAGTGTGAATCTCGACTCGGTCTCCATGCGGCTTCGGCTGCACGGATGACTTGAGTCCGAGGCTACCCTGGCACGTCAAGCGTCGTGGATAGGAAGGTTGCTGATTGACGCCCGCTCTCGGTTCACGCAGTTCACCGCGTTGCGTGTGTGTTCTGTGGGGTAGCGGACTGGTGGGCTGGGGACGGGCTGAAAAAACACCTACTACGGCCCTCTCACGCAAGTGAGACACACGCCGTTCAACCCTCGTCGTGGGAAATCCTGGTGTTTGTGTTCATGGAGTGCCAGGTCGTGCTCGTGGCGCGCGCAGTCATGGTCAGTCGACCATGACAGCCACCGCGCCCATTTCCCACTCCAGTCTGCTGACCGGCTCGGACAGCGGCTGGGGTGTGGGGATGGGAAGGGAGAGTGAGGTCGACGACTCAGCGCATTTCCTCACTATAAACAATCTGACGCGCTTGAAGCTATCACGGTGCACTAAAAGCCGTGGCTTGGAAGGTTGCCAAGTGACGGGATAGCTTGGATCTCCTCCTTGACTGGAGGCGGCCTGAGAGACAGGCTGCAATGGCTCCTTCTTGATGTGGTATTTATGGCACTCCCACCACAGTGTGGGATCCTAGCCAGGCGTTGGCGGCACGACTAGGTGCGGCTTCGGCCGTGCCAGCCTCCACTCTGTTGTGTTGGTCAAATCCTGGTCATTCGTGTGTGGACCAGGGGGATGCGGAGTGGAGCGCCAAGGTGAGGATCCGTCCAAGCCATCCACCTGCGGCCTCCCTCGTCACCGGTCTTCTCGACTCTGTCTTGACACCGGGCTCAGGCGGGGGAGGAGGAGAGAGTGTAGGTAGATGCAGCGCAAGTCTACTGGCACTATAAACCCCTTCAAAAGTCACCGTCTCTGCTCCCACCGCTGCTGAGGTGGGACACACGGTGAACATCGTCGAAATCGACGGTCGAACTGTCGTGTGTGTGCGTGTGTGGGGTGTAGGGGTGTCAGCGGTGGGTTCACGTGATGGTCGTAGTGGTCGCTCACTTGCTTTCAGGTGAGACTACGCATAGCGTCCATTTACTGGCACCCAACTCTCACATGTGGCTCCGCGTAGCTGGGCTCTGCTCAGCGGCCACACCCCGGGCAACCGCCTCGAACGGTGAGCTAAACCAGGTGAGGGCGGTTACTCCCGGTGCGCGTTGTGCCACGTGCACAGGGTACTGCGGACTCCGCTGGACGGTTGGTCGGATGGAACACCGTCTCGACACCGTCGTGACGAGGCTCCGTCTACGCCTCTGGTCAGCCGGTTGGTGGAACGTCGCATCAGCATCGTTGAGACGAGGCTCCGCCTGGTACGCCGTTGGTCAGCCGGTTGGATGGACCTTCGAATCGGCATCGCTGACACGCGCCCATCTAGTGCACCGTAGGAAATGGCAGGCTGACGGCAATGTCGTAAGCCATTGGCAAATTCGAGTCGTTCTTCCACTGCCAAGAAAATCTCGTGGCCCACAGTGGAGTTCGTCCACGCCGGCAAATCTAGCAGAACTATTTAGGGACGGGACTACTTCTCTTCGGAGGGGGCCTGGAAAAGCTGGCCTAAAGATTGCTGGGGAACCACGTCGTCTGCAGGCTGAAAGTGGTCGCAGACGTAAAACTCACGGTCGAAACAACCAAAATCCAAACAACAACAACGACAACCATACTTATTCTCCTCATCCTACCTCTTCTTCCTCTTCCTCCGTCTATTATTCTCCTTCGTCACCTTCTTCTCCACCTCCTTCCCGTCCTCCCACTCCTTGTCACCAGACTGGCAGGGTGAGCCCGCTCACTCTGGCAGCCTGGAATGTTCGTTCCCCTTAAGACAGTCCGAGGAGCAACCGACCGGAACGGAGGACGGCGCTTCTGGCACGAGAACTGGCGCGCTACAAGGTGGACAGCGCCGCACTCAGCGAGACTTGATTCTCCGAACAAGGCCAACTGGAAAAGGTGGGTGCCGGCTACACATTCCTCTGGAGTGGTCGGCCCAGGGCAGAGCAACGAAACGCGGGTGTCGCCTTCGCCATCCGGAACGACATCGTGGAACGACTGCCCTGTCTGCCGCAGGGCATCAATGATCGCCTGATGAGCCTCCGTCTGCCTCTCCGGCGTGGGGGCAAATTCGTCACCATCATCAGCGCCTACGCTCCGCCGATGACCAGCCCCGACGCCACCGCAAGAGACAAATCCTACGAGGACCTGCACGCCCTCATGGGGACTGTGTCGAAGGCGGACAAGTTGATTGTCCTTGGTGACTTCAACGCCCGCGTCGGCACAGACCATGCTGCCTGGAGAGGTGCTGGGTCCCCATGGTCTCCGCGGCTCAAACGACAATGGCCTGCTGCTCCTCCGCACCTGCGCAGAATACCGCCTCATCCTGACAAACACCTTCTTCTGTCTGCCGGAGCGAGAGGAGGCCACCTGGAGGCATCCTCGGTCGCGTCAGTGGCAACTGCTGGACTATGTCCTCGTCCGGAGGCGAGATCAGCGGGGCGAGCTGGTGACAAAGGCGATCGCGGGCGCTGACGGGTGGACCGACCATCGCCTCGTCATCTCGAAGATGCGTATTCGCCTACAGCCTCGCAGGAGACCACAAGGCAAACGACTCCCAGGTAAGCTGAACATTGCCCTGTTGTCTTTGCCTGCTCACCATCTTCATTTCAGCAACGAGCTAGCTCAACGGCTAGACAACCTCCCTACTGCTGCCGCCGCCGCCGACCGCGCCAAAGCCGCTGCCGAGAACGCCTCCGTGGAGAACCGTTGGTGTCAACTGCGAGACACGGTCCAGTCGACGGCGTTAGCCATCCTTGGTCGCCCACGCCGCCAACACCAGGAATGGTTCGACGAAAACGACGCCATCATCAGCAATCTGCTTTCCGAGAAGAACCGCCTACACAAAGCCTACGTAGAGCACCCCACTGATGCCAACAGAGCTGCTTTCTACCGCAGTCGCCGTCACATTCAGCAACGACTGCGCGAGATGCAGGACGCCTGGACTGCCCACAAAGCTGAGGAGGTCCGAGGGTACGCGGACCGCAACGAGTGGAAGAACTTCTTCTCCACGATCAAAGCTGTCTACGGTCCGCCAACGAAAGGCACTGCTCCTCTCCTCAGCGCCGCCGGTAGTACTTTCCTGACTGAGAAGACGCACATTCTACAGCGATCGGCCTCCATTTCCGAGGCGTCCGTAGTCGCCCTTCCACGATCGCCGACGCCGCAATATCCCGCTTGCCGCAAGTGGAGACCATCGAGGACCTCGGTCGAAAATAGCCGAAACCGAAACAACACCAATCTCTCTCTTCCTCGTCCAGCCTATTCTCCTTCTTCCCCTCATTCTCCTTTTCGCCGCCGCAATCGCCAGACTGCAAGCGGTTGTCTACGGTAAGTTTTATGAATGCGCATGTGGCCTAATAATACCATGTGTTGGTTGAATTTGCGGGGTCAGTGAAGGTGGATGCGGCGAGTGTAGGTTGATGCTCCAGGCACTGGCTCGCCAATCTCCACAGGATGGATTCGCAGGACGATGTGCGAGGTGAATGCGCGGTCGCAATGAAGACAGGTATGAGCCGAGTCCACATCGCTGGAGGTTGTGGCGTTGGTGGTGATGGTAGAGGGTGATAGGACGTCGGACTTCTTCCCATCGGAGAGGGGAGTACGTGATGTTGTGGTGGTGGAGCTGGTCGCTGTGGTCGATGAGGGGCTGGGGCAGGGCGGATGGTGTCGGTGGTTGATGGCGGCGGGACAGCGGCAGCGTGATCGGCGGTGGTTGCGTTTCTTGGCATGGTTGGAGTAGATGGTTCAAGTCTCCGCTCCGTACAGAAGTGTCGTCAGGACAACGGCCTTGTACATCTTCAGTTTGGTATCCAAATCGAGGCTGTGGCAGTTCCACATGGAGTTCTGCAACTGGTCGAAGGCTTGGCTGGCCTTGAAGATCCGGTAGGCCACTTCGTCGTCGATTCTGGTGCTGGTGGAAGGTGCGCCTCCGAGACAAACGAAATTGTTCACGGTTTTTAGTTGGTTGCCATCGACAGTGATTCGAGGAGTACAGTGTTGCGCGTTGAGTGACGGTCGGTGCGTGACCACCGTTTTGTCCGTTTTGATAGTCAGGCCGAAGTTGGCGTACCCGGTGACGGAGAGGTCCATGCTCCGTTGCATGTCCACTTTGGTCGTGGTTTTGAGTTCGCAGTTGTCGGCTAAGAGCAGGTCGTGGATGGTGATCGTAGATAGTCGCGTAGGGTCCTGCATGCGCTTGCTGTTGAGATGCCTGTCAGTTTTCTAGACGATGCGTATCCGGGGGCGCTCATCACGCTGGGCGCCCATCAGCATAGCAGAAAACGTAAAGCTGATGAGTGTGGGAGCGAGTACGCAGTCCTGTTTCACTCCATTGGTCATTGCAAATGCTTCGGAGATTGCACCGTTGTCCGTGACGCGCGCCAGCATCCCGTTGTGGGGCTGACGTACCATGTGTGTGAATCTGTCAGGACAGCTGAATTTCTGCATGCTTTCTCACTGGCCCTCGCGGTCGACCGTATTGAGGGCTTTCATCAAGTCCATTAAGGTAGTTTAGAGGTGGGTTTGCATCTTCTGACACTTCATCTGTAGCTGGGGAGCGGTAAAGAGCATGTCGGCGGTGCTCCGGTGTCGTTGGAAGCTACATTGGCTTTCCGGAAGAAGTGCTTGCTCGGGGTGTCCGTTGAGGCGATTGAGGCGTATTCGGGTGAAGATCTTCCCGGCGATGTGGGGTAGCGAGATGCCTCTGTAATTGTCACAGAGGTATCAGTTCCCTTTGAGTTTGTAGACGTGAAGAATGGTTGCGTCCTTGGAATCCTGAGGGACTTGTCCACAGCGCCAAATCTCCTGAAATAGCTTGGTGAGTTGGTCCATCAGTCGGTGGCCGCCGTGCTTGTAGAGTTCTCTTGGGATTGCATGGGAGACTGGTGCTTTCCCGCTGGAGAGTTGTTGCATAGTACGGATGGTTTCTAGAAGGGAGGAGAGGAGAGCTAGTTCGACGTTGATTTCCATTTGGGAGAGCCAGTCGACGGCGACATCGGAGATTGCAGGGGGGCGGTTGAGGGCGTTTTTGAAGTGCTCGTCCCAGCGCTTCAGAATCTGTGACTTCTCCGTCAGAAATCTGTTCCATCGGAGCTGAGAAGCGGTGCAATCCTTTTGGGTTGGGGAACATAGATCGCCCTGATTATATACGCCTCTGTGACACTCATGATCCTATTTCACAACATACGCATATAAGACGCTTCCCAGGTCACTTCTTGGCCCTTTCTCTGAACAACCGCTCGATCCTCCCCCTCTTCGCCACTATTGCGTTTGAATTTTTTCATGTCACAGAATGCCCAGATGACTGTCGTGGGTTACAAGTCGTTCCGTACTGCCTGACACATGCTGAATAGAAGCTAGCGTGTGCGTGACTGGCACAGGCCTGCCGGTTAGCTTATTCGACCAGTGAGCCCGACTTCCTCATCAGTTTGTCGGGTTAGTTCAGCTTAATGCCTGTTTTTAGAGGGAAGAGACAAAGATTTCGACATTGGTGAACCCACCTTCATGGAGCATCAGCTTTTCCTAGTTGTTATCAATCAGATGATTTTAAATTTACCATAAAACACTAAATGTCGTGCCTTGGAAGTTTGCCGAGTACTGGGGCAACTAGCCCTCTCCAAGAACAGTGTCCTGCTGCATTGTGTCCTCTTAATTTGGTCTTTATGGCACCTCAAACCTTAATTAGCCACCCCCCCATATGCAGTCGGTTATATGCAGCGTGACCCGGTCGTGCGTGTGACATGTATAGCCGGGCCATTTTGCTTATCCATCAGTGTACGCTGTGCATGAAGTGGGAATGTGGTGGACGGGCAACAAGTCTGCTTCATTATGGACGAATCCACGCACAACATCATCGAGATTCTTGCATGTGGTACAGAATATAGTCTTCGTATTATACTTTCACCGTTCGGCTTCGATAGCGTTTCGTATCTTGGAATCTTCTTTACAAGGTCCACAAGGCATCCGTTGAATCGGAGTAAAAGGTGAGTATGTCAACTATTGCTTTATCGGGTCACCCTTGGTGCAGTGGCTGCTCGTGGTTATGAGACCTTTTGTGAGGCACTTGAAACGCATCTTCGAGACAAAACGAAGTGCACTTTTAAATTTATTTGAGACCACTTTACGATTGTACTTTTTGGTGAAAGGGTTTGGCCTCAATAAACTTTTCAGCTTTCGAGATCCCGAATGTAAATGCATCACGTGGCACGGATACAGATAATAAAGAAGTCAGCGGACATCAAAGATGTCGACCGGATCTTGGTCATATTGTAACGGTAGTTTTTACAGGATTTGACGTAAAATTTACCCTTTAAAATGGTTTTCTTGACGGTGCTTATACTGACGCAGTCGGAGAACGCAATCGTAGCTTTATCGTAACTTTATCAAACCCCAGATTGCTGGGTCTAGAACAAAGCAGCTGTGGCTAGAGTTGCGGCGCGCACGTACTTTCGCGGTTGCTTACCGAGATTTCTTTTTCTGGCTCCGGCGTTTTGAGTCAGGTACCTTTAAGTCAGGCAACGACACCAATTCTGCAACTCTTTAGCATCCCTAAACCGTCCTGTTTCTTACGAATACTCGTCATCTTCGACCTGAATTATGCAGTTCCCATTTAAACTTTAGTAGTAACCTCGCCAAGATACGGCGTGCGCGTTTCATTGCAATTTTAAGCAAATGTCGTTCTACAGATGGAAATGCCAATAGGGGCTACTCTAGCATGGAGAACAAGCTGCCGACTGTGCCTATATGTAGGTGTAGAGTGAGTCTGCATTTTCGTGGAAATGTGAGCGCCCAGAACATAGTCGCGGCCACTGACAGATCACGCCGCTTCTCCTATCTAAGTAGGCCCGACGTTTTTCTGATCGCCGTCACTAGCGGTCTGCCTCCTTTTACTCTGATGTTACTCGGCGATGTGTCAATAGGCAGCGTGCTATTCACGTAGATTTAACCAACGCAGCCCAATCACTCCTGCCGCCGCCGCTCGCCACCAACCGCTTGTGCGCTCTGCGTCAATAAGAGCGGCCTGCCCCATACTTCTCGTCGTCTTTTAACTTAGGAACGCCCTCGATATTGCACCCTACAGATCCATAAGGGAAAGTGAAGTAACCGCTTTCAGTATTTCACAGCCATCAATCAGCGATGGCCTTAAACGGGTCGAAATTTGAAATATAAGCAGCAACGCCCAGACCAGCAGAAGTTCTGAGTAATACTCGGCCAGACATAGGATTTTCTCAGGCTGAAAAGCACTGGCAAGACCGATTCCCACGGAGAAACTTGCAGTTTGGTGTTTGTTTTTGACTTCACAGGAAACAGTAAAAACAGTCAGCTCTTGCACGAGTTTTACAGTCAGTTTAGAGTGTAGCTTACCCTCAGATACTGTAAACTATTGCTTCTCATCGTCCTTTTTGTAAGGCTCGCTAAAGAGGGAAATCCGGGATGTGAAGTTTCAGTGAAGCTTCGACACGTGTGATGCGTCTACTGGTACAGAGACATCTCTAACGTGAAAATAGTTTTTTTAAAAAAAATCCATCAGAAATTACCAAGCGAGGCTAGAGTACAGCGTCAGGGGCAGCGCATTTCACGTCTGGTAGGCAATCATTCTACAGAAATTGACGATCTTTAGTGTAACCGGTCGTATACAAATCCATGTACATAAAAGGCCATATTCTCAAAAGCTCGAGTCAGTCTGACAGTCTCTCATGAAATTTCATACCCGGAGCGTTGCGAGAAACCACATTGAAGACTCTGACAAATCCACTGACAGACTTCGCTCATCCTCAGAAAACCTATGAAACACGTGTCTGGGCTCTTATTAAGCACATCTGTCATAAGTGTGAGAGGACCCTCAGCTTGGAAATCTGTCGACAGACATAAATAGAATTTACATTCTAAAGAGATAGGCCCTTTGAAGAGATGGAAGTTCCCATTTACGAATACGTTCATAGTGGGTCAAGATGTGCCGTGATTGGATCCGTCCTGTTAACGCCGTAAATGAGAATGGGCAGCAACAAGACCTGTAGGCTTACTCGCACAAAAATCGGCAAGAGACTCACGACGACGACGACACGTCCCATTACCCCTTCGCGAACTGAACTTGCGCCTTTAATCCGGACACTTCTAATTGGTTCCCTCCAGCCAACCCTGTGGACCACAAGTGTGCTCATTACCTTGCCCGTAACCAACCCACGCTCTGCTAGAACCCTCATGCCGACCACCGGCGCCGCGCACGAAAACGGGACCTGGCTGCTGGAGCCTTAAATTTGTAATCTCCGGGTAAGACGGGTTACCCGGGTAAGACGGGTCTGACGAATAAGCAGTCGCAGACCAGCAGCGACATTGCCACAAGGGTGCGGAGGACTGACGTTTGATACGCTGAAAGCCTTATAAAACAGTCGCAAAGGTCGATGACGGCGCTGTGACATGGCGACCGTAAACCGCCATTAAATGTGTTTGCCTGCAACCGCTGCCTTCCCGTTAGGCTCCTGAGTCAAAGCGATAGAGAAAACCTCGAACAAACTATCCGAACGACTGTTAGAGAACCGCCTGTACTCAAAATTCCCAACAAGGCTATCATATTTTAGTTGATATCATCGTGCAGCGACACTTCAATACGGTGGAGCAATTTTCTGACCGAATTCTGAATGACACCGTCCATCCCCTTCATAATGAGTTAATGGCTGCGAAATCCTTACGCCCCATGCGTCGATGCTTCCGCCACATCCCTTGTCGCACTTCGGCTTATCAGAATTCCATACTGCCATTTATAGCCCGGTATCTCACCTGCAAAGATGCTGAAAAACAAAAGCTAGAACTTGATCTTGCACCTTAAAGTTCTTTTTTTCATGTATAATTATGTCCACCTGTCCAATACCTGTTAATCTCTATGGTAATCATTGTGTACTGGAGAACCGTTTTTTGCTGAAAGTTTTGAATGTTATTTTCAAAATAAAGCATTCCTCTCTCTCTCTCTCTAAATATGTAATCATTTACCGTACTGTCATATGTCCAACCACAGTATTCTGACCCATGCTAAGGCGTCCGCGGGAATCGACGCGCTTCGCAACCCTGGTCCAGTGGTGCGGGCGAATAGTATGCGAGCTGGACTACTTAATCGTGGACGGACTCTCGGTATTGGATGCTGGAATGTGCAAACGTTCCTGGACGCCGGTACACGAAGTCTGGCCGCACGCTGCCTTTATCCGTACAACGTGGATGTCTGCTTTCTGTCTGAAGTTCGACTTCCTGACACAGGCTCCCGAGAAACAAAAATCCCTGATGTCGAGTCACACTTTACCCTGTACCACAGCGGCCTGCGCGACTCTTCCGGTCGACACGGTGTGGCGATCGCCCTATCCCAACAAGCGGACCTCGCGCTACTTGCATGGGAACCAATCAATGACCGGATGGCCTACGTGCGACTGAAGAGCCACTTCACGAGCATCTCCGTTTCCTCTGTGTACGCACCGACTTCAGCTGCCGAACAGCGCAATAAAGAGGCGTTTTACACGCAGTTGCAAGCACTAGTTAAAAGACTGCCTCGCCGCGATCTGCTGATTGTTGCTGGCGATTGGAATGGTCGAGATGGACCTGGCGACCCCACAACCAGTCATCTTCTTGGCCGCTTTGGGCTTGGTTCCCGATGTGAAAATGGTGAGAGATTGCTGAACTTCGCTGATCGAAACCGACTGCTTGTCACCAACACATGCTTCCAGCATCGCAAAAAACATCTGCTGACCTGGTATTCAAACGACGGTCGTACGGCCACTCAGATTGACTACATACTAGTCAGCTCAAGGTTCCGCAGCTGGGTTCACGATAGCAGATCGATGCGTGGTGCCGAGACTGGTAACGCCCATGGGTCGGACCATGTCCTCGTCCGTACACGCCTGAAAGTTCACCTCTCATCCGCACCAAAAATGCCACGTCCTAGACGCCTCAATGTCGCAAAAATCCGGCAAGCC